TCCAGGCTGATGTGGAACTTGATGTGAGGCCTCAAGCAGTGCTCCTGTCTCAGCCACCCAAAGTGCTGGGATTACAGGTGTGAGCCCTTGTGCTGGCCCTCTTCATAGACTTTTGGACTTGGGAATAGAAAGGCAGCCCGGTCTCTACTAAAAATACAAAAAATTAGCCAGGTATGGTGGCACGCACACGTACTCCCAGCTACTCAGTAGGCTGAGGCAGGAGAATCACTTGAACCTGGGAGGTGGGGGTTGCAGTGAACTGAGATCACACCACTGCACTCCGGCCTGCGCAACAGAGCGAGACTCCATCTCAAAAAACAGAAAAGAAAGAAAGGCAAGTTGACTGCTGAATGGGGACTCTGTAATGTGTACGCCTGGGGGCTGTGGGGCAGCCACATTCCACCACGTGGATCTGAGAAACAGAATGCTGATCTGCGGAAAGAGAGGCCACCTGTGTTCTGGGTCCATTTTCATCCTTCCTGAAGCCCAGCTGCCCAGGGTGGGGAAGAACACCCTGTGTCCATGGGGTAGAGTCCTCTCCTCTTGCACTTGTGCTCAAAGAATCTTCAATAATACAAATGAGATATCCTTATGTAGTTGATCTTTTATGTAATATGTGTCTTCATTGGGGAATACTGACTTCTCAAAGTCTCAAGATGGAAGATATACCACTTATAATTTATTTTAGAGCAATTGAATTGTTTTTAGGATTTTCCAAAAATGCTGCTTGTTTCATTTTGTTATTTAAGGAACAGATTATCTAAGCCTCTGTACCCTGCACACTGTGGTTTACAAATGCCTTGCCCTGCCTATGAAGCAGGCAGGAATGCTCCAGTATAGACAATGTTATCAGTAGCAGACAGGACAAAGAAAGAAAGGTATGTAATAATCAGTCTGTTTGGGTGAATGTGGAAAGAAAAATACAAAGAAATATAACCAAAGCTTAAACAGCTATCACTGGCAAGTTAGAGATTTGGCTCCATAAAGAATGGCACAGGGACCACGGAAGGTGGCCCGAAAGATGTACCTATGAGAGAGCTCCCAGCTGATGGGATTCTTTGGCAGAATGAAGTGACAAATACAACCTAAGCCACGGAGATATTAGTTCAAGTAATTTACCCAGTCACAACTGCAGTACATACCTGTCATTGTTTTATTTTAATACAAGGGAGCAATTTCAATGTGTGTTTGTGGATACATGTATATGTTTATGTTGCACCTACTCCTTATTTTTATTTTTTATTTTGAGACAGGGTCTCACTCTGTCGCCCAGGGTAGGGTACAGTGGTGTGATTATAGCTCACTGCGGCCTTGGTTTCCTAGGCTTAAGAAATCCTTCTGCCTCAGCCTCCTGAGTAGATGGGACTGCGGGCATGTGCCACCACACCCAGCTAATTTTTTTTTTCTTTTTAATAGAGATGAGGTCTCACTATGTTGCCCAGCATGATCTCGAACTCCTGGCCTCAGGTGATCCTCCCACCTCAGCCTCCCAAAGTACTGCTCAGCCTACACCTACTCTTTCTGAAAAGTCAGAGTAAGATTTCTACTGAGTGCTTTTTAAAAATCAAAATTATCAGCTGGGTGCAGTGGCTCACGCCTGTAATCCCAGCACTTTGGGAGGTCAAGGTGGGCGGATCACCTGAGGTCGGGTGTTTGAGACCAGCCTGGCCAACATGGTGAAACCCCATCTCTACTAAAAATACAAAGATTAGCAGGGCGTGGTGTCATGTGCCTATAATCCCAGCTACTCAGGAGGCTGAGGCAGGAGAATCGCTTGAACCTGGGAGGCAGAGGTTGCAGTGAGCTGAGATCACGCCACTGCACTCCAGCCTGGGCAACAAGAGCAAAACTCTGTCTCAAAAAAAAAATCAAAATTATCTTTAATCCCCACAGCTCTGACTCCAATTGCTTCTTATGTGATGGCTTTTTGCCTTATAAAACATTATATGACAAACTGATCAGTGGCTGAGTTAATGGGAATCGGATAGAATTCTATTTATGTGCCTTAAGCATAGTCATTCTGATTTGCAGAAAATAGCCATGTCCCAGATTTATTAATTATGTGTAGCTGTAATTTGTGGGCTGAAAATATGTCTGAAAATCTGTGATTCCTAAACAGTGAGTATTAATAGAAATTTATTTCACTATCAGTGTTAACTTTCAACAACAGGAGGATAATCAAGGCAGATATTTAGAAATGAAATATACCATAAAATATTAAGTTATTTATATTTAAACAAGACAAATAATCCTTTATGCATTGAAAATTTAGGAAGTTTAAAAAGAAAAACAAAAGCAATCAAGTCCTGTCACTGGAGATAATTACTGCTATGATGATGATGTATTTTCTTCTCATCTTTTTTGTCTGCTCATACATGTGTATGCTTTCACAAGGTTGTGATCATATTATGATACAGCATTGCATCTCCACTATCTTCCTTTCTATTTATTCGCCCTTCGCCATGTTGAGGCAGGAGAATAGGGTCTGGAGGCAAGGAACCTAAGGCTGATTGATGCTGACTTCCTAGAACTAAATTGAAAGGAAAACCTCAACTTTCCATGCCTAAGTAACAAAAGGACCAGAGGCTACTCCCTTTGTAACACCTCCCCAACCCCCACCTCCCTGCCTCCCCGCCTTTTCTGAGTGGCAGAAACGTCTGCAACCAATCAGACGTTTGCATGGGAGTGTAACTTTTGTAACTTCACTTCAGCCTCTGGTTGCAGAAAGCAAAAGCAACCAATCAGACTGATGGCAGGCCACTACTTTATTTGCATGGGATGAATACCAAGTGGCTAATGGGAAACCTCTAGCCGGTATTTGGACCCCAGAAGATTCTGTAACCAGGGCCCTTGAGCCACTGCTTAGCCAGGTCCCACCCTCATTTTCAATAAATCTCTGCTTTCATTGCTTCATTTTGTCCAATTCTTTGTTGAAAAAGCCAAGAATCTGGACAACTTGTAGTCAAGACCCTCTACTGGTAACAACATCACTAAATAGTTTTCAAAAGCAATTTTTTTTTTTTTTTTTTTTTTGAGATGGAGTCTCGCTGTGTCGCTCAGGCTGGAGTGCAGTGGCACGAGCTTGGCTCACTGCAAAGTCCGCCTCCCGGGTTCACGCCATTCTCCTGCCTCAGCCTCCCGAGTTGCTGGGACTACAGGTGCCCGCCACCATGCCTGGCTAATTTTGTGTATTTTTTATTAGAGACAGAGTTTCACCCTGCTAGCCAGGATGGTCTCGATTTCCTGACCTCGTGATCTGCCCGCCTCGGCCTCCCAAAGTGCTGGGATTACAGGCGTGAGCCACTGCGCCCGGCCCAAAAGCAAGATTTTTAAATAGCTGTATAATGTTGTAATGTGGCAGTACCATTATTATTTAGTCTTTCTCCTGTTATTAGAGTCAGCATTCATTCAGCAATTTAAGTACTGTTGGGTGTGCTAGCAGATAAAGGTTTATTGACTATTGAAGATAGTCCTGTTCTCAGACATCACAGGTTGTAGGAGTAGGGGCTGAACACTGAACTTTACTATATAGCATGGTACGGCTGTCTTAGGGGTACAGGCTGTACAATCTTTGGGTCAGATGATATTTGATTAGCAAACGTTCTTTCTTGTCTTACATTAAAACTCTTTGCAGGGGCCTTAACAGGGTATAAAATGCTGTGTTTTCTCAGAAATCCAGCAAATCAGAAGGTGAACGATCATGATTATGATCTCTGAAGGAACAGAAATTCTCTGATACAAGGTTTTGTTAAGCACAATGTTCACATAAGACATTTGGGGGAGAACCCCTTAAAATAAGAGATCAGGGCTGGGCACTGTGGCTCATGCCTGTAATCGTAGCACTTTGGGAGGCTGACGCGGGTGCATCACCTGAGGTCAGAAGTTCAAGACCAGCCTGGCCAACATGGTGAAACCGCATCGCTACTAAAAATACAAAACTTAGCCGGACGTGGTGGTGGGTGCCTTTAATCCCAGCTACTCGGGAGGCTGAGGCGGGAGAATTGCCTGAACCCGGGAGGCGGAGGTTGCAGTGAGCTGAGAGCATACCACTGCACTCCAGCCTGGTGACAGAGCAAGACTCCATCTCAAAAAAAAAAGAAAAGAAAAAAAGAAAAAAGAAAAATGAGAGATTCATAATACCACAATGGATTCTTCACGCAGATTATGCTATCCCTTGTTTGAAGATTTTCCAACATATGGCAAATTCTCTTTGCTTTTGGTCTTCACTGAGATTGGAAAAACTGAATTTAGTGCCATTTGAAGGAATTATTATAATGCAGCGGTTCTCAAACTTGGCTGTCCATTATAATCACCTGGGGAGCTTTTATAAATCCCAGCTGTCCAGACCACACCATGGGCCAATTAAACTTTTCGGGTGTGACCCAAGTGTTTACCATGTGCAAAGAAGTTTGAAAATGACTAAAATAGGTAACTCTGAAGTCAAACTGCCTGGCTTCAAATTCCAGGCCAGCCACTTCCTAGCCATGTGACCCTAGGCAAGATATTTGATTTATGTGAACTCTATGAGAAAAAAAGATGATAAAAATAACATTTTCTTGTAGGATTGCTATGAGGTTTAAACAAGATAATCTATGTAAACTATTAAGTTGCTGCAAAAGTAATCACGATTTTTGCCGTTAAAAGTGATGGCAAACACTGCGATTACTTTTGCACCAACCTAACACAACAGGGCAGGCATATGTGAATTCTATAGGCTGGGCACAGTGGCTTACACCAGCACTTTGGGAGGCCAAGGGGTGGGGAGGATTGTGAACAATTTTCACAAGTTCAAGACCAGCCTAGGCAAACACAGAGAGACCTCCTCTCTACAAAAAAATTTTAAAAATTAGCCTAGTGTGGTGGTGGATGCCTGTAGTCCCAGCTACTGAAGTGGGAGGATTGCTTGAGTCTGGGAGATGGAGGCTGCACTGAGCTGTGATCGTGCCCCTGCACTCCAGCCTGAGTGACAGAGTGAGACTTGGTCTTTTTTTAAAAAAAAAAAAAAAAGTTCTATGGTAATTATTATTAACTAACAGCTTTCTTATTTCATATTAATTACTCTGCAAGACACTTCCAGCGTGGTTCCCCCATCTGACACTCATTCACCTAGTTGATTTTTTGTTGTTGTTCTATAACATTCTTTCATTCATGCACGAATTCATTTTACAAGTATGTATTCATTGACTTAACTACGAGTGTGAAAGAAGACACAAAAGAAATATACACATCTGCCTCACCTCCCTTGGAGTTTGTCTTCTCCCGTGTGCTCGTGTTTTCCAGTTCAGATCAAAAGCATCATGAGCTAGGGGACCATGTTTGATGCCTGGACAGCCCTAGCACCCAACGCTGAGGATTGGAGACACTGCTAGGTACCCGGGCTGGAAGACTGGGTTCTGGTTCTTGTTTTGCCACTTACAGGCTGGGTAACAGGGAGCAATCCTGTTGTCCTCAATAGGTGTGTTTCCTCACCTGAAAGTGTACACAATCCATCCATGACTGATGTGACGATTACAGGTCTACACAATGCGCATGTGGATTTGTCTTGCAAACGTCCACGACCAGGCCCTCAAGAAACAGTGCCGCGCATGCCCACCAAGGGGCAGCAGATCGCAGTGCAGAGGCCCGCGGCGCTTGACGTCAGGGCGCACGTCCCACCCCGTGACCGTGACTGTGACCGTGACCAAGAGCGTCTCTGGGACACGGCCGGGCGGCGCGGCGGGAGTGCACAGGACCCGTCATGGCGGCCGAAGCCTCGGAGAGCGAGCCGGCTCTGCAGGAGCTCATGCGCGAGGCGGAGATCAGCCTGCTGGAGTGCAAGGTGTGCTTTGAGAAGTTTGGCCACCGGCAGCAGCGGCGCCCGCGCAACCTGTCCTGCGGCCACGTGGTCTGCCTGGCCTGCGTGGCCGCCCTGGCGCACCCGCGCACGCTGGCCCTCGAGTGCCCATTCTGCAGACGAGCCTGCCGGGGCTGCGACACCAGCGACTGCCTGCCGGTGCTGCACCTCATAGAGCTCCTGGGCTCAGCGCTTCGCCAGTCCCCGGCCGCCCACCGCGCCGCCCCCAGCGCCCCCGGAGCCCTCACCTGCCACCATACCTTTGGCGGCTGGGGGACCCTGGTCAACCCCACCGGACTGGCGCTTTGTCCCAAGACGGGGCGGGTCGTGGTGGTGCACGACGGCAGGAGGCGTGTCAAGATTTTTGACTCTGGGGGAGGATGCGCGCATCAGTTTGGAGCGAAGGGGGACGCTTCCCAAGACATTAGGTATCCTGTGGATGTCACCATCACCAACGACTGCCATGTGGTTGTCACTGACGCCGGCGATCGCTCCATCAAAGTGTTTGATTTTTTTGGCCAGATCAAGCTTGTCATTGGAGGCCAATTCTCCTTACCTTGGGGTGTGGAGACCACCCCTCAGAATGGGATTGTGGTAACTGACGCGGAGGCAGGGTCCCTGCACCTCCTGGACGTCGACTTCGCGGAAGGGGTCCTTCGGAGAACTGAAAAGTTGCAAGCTCATCTGTGCAGTCCCCGAGGGGTGGCAGTGTCTTGGCTCACGGGGGCCATTGCAGTCCTGGAGCACCCCCTGGCCCTGGGGACTGGGGTTTGCAGCACCAGGGTGAAAGTGTTTAGCTCAAGTATGCAACTTGTCGGCCAGGTGGATACCTTTGGGTTGAGCCTCTATTTTCCCTCCAAAATAACTGCCTCCGCTGTGACCTTTGATCACCAGGGAAATGTAATTGTTGCAGATACCTCTGGTCCTGCTATCTTTTGCTTAGGAAAACCTGAGGAGTTTCCAGTACTGAAGCCCATGGTCACTCATGGTCTTTCCCATCCTGTGGCTCTTACCTTCACCAAGGAGAATTCTCTTCTTGTGCTCGACACAGCATCTCATTCTATAAAAGTCTATAAAGTTGACTGGGGGTGATGGGCTGGGGTGGGGCCCTGGAATCAGAAGCACTAGTGCTGCCATTAATGAATTGTTTAACCCTGGATAAGTCACTTAAACTCATCTATGCAGGCAGGGATAATTAAAACTGTCTGGTAGACTTACAAAGCTTGGGACAATTATTAGAGATTAATCTACCATTTATTGAATGCATACTCTTTGTGCAAGGAAATTTGCAAATATTAGCTCATTTAATCCGTACTATCCAGTGAGGTAATTTTTTTCCCCCCTGAGATAGAGTCAAGCTCTGTCACCCGGGCTGGAGTGCAGAAACATGATCACAGCTCACTACAGTTTCAACTTCCACCGCTCGGGTGATCCTTCCACCTCAGCCTCCCAAGTAGCTGGGACCACAGGCGTGCGTTACCACATCCAGCTAATTTTTGTATTTTGATAGAGATGGGGTTTCATCATGTTGCCCAGGCTGGTCTCAAACTCCTGAGCTCAAGCAATCCACCTTCCTCGGCCTCCCAAAGTGCTAGGATTACAGGCATAGCCACCTTGCCTAGCCATAATTTTTATTATTAATCTCATCGTGCAAGTGAGAAAACTGAAACCCAGAGAGCTTAAGTGACTTCCTCGAGGTCATAGTTACTTACTGCCATAGTCACAATTTGAATTCAATTCTGATTCCAAATAAGTTGTGCTTAAATAAGATAACAGATGTGGGGAAAAGTAGGTGAATGAATAGTGTTGCTATGTGTACTGTCTCTACAAGTAGCTAATTATTTTAGCACAAAGATGTGCAAAGAAAGGAGACTTTATGGAGCGTTCAGGAGAAAAAGGATTTTGTGGTGGCCATCACTTTCATTCAATTTGTGACTGCTCTGATGGCACATTAGATGAAGTTACTGTTGATCCTGAATTACGTGAATAAGAAAAACAATTGAACTGCTTATTAAAAAGGTAAACATGTCTTGTAATACCTATATCTTCTCCACTATACATACTCAGAAAATAACACTTGGTTGTTTGAGAAAGGCCTATATTTACATAAGTTCTAAACTATTACAGAACACACTACATACTATTGTCAGAGGGCCAGATGACGCTCCTGTTACATGTTTATGTTACATATTTATGGGTTTGTTTGTTTGTTTGTTTGTTTGTTCTTAGACATGGTCTTGCTCTGTTGCCCAGGCTGCAGTGAAGTGGAGTAATCACTGCTCACTGCAGTCTCAACGCCCTGGGCTCAAGCGATCCTCTTGCCTCAGCATCCTGAATAACTGGGACTAGAGGTGTGTCACCATGCCCAGCTAATTTTTAATTTTTTCGTAGAGATGGGATCTTGCTTTGTAGCCCAAACTGGTTTCAAGCTCCTGGGCTCAAGCGAGCCTCCTATCTTGGCCTCCCAAAGCACTGGGACTATAGGTATGAGCCACTGTGCCTCACCCATGTAAAGTAAAAGTGACAGCCTAACTCCCGTGCCAGTCCACAAAAACCCATTTTGTTGTCAATGCTCTCATCATATAGCACTAATAGTAAGATTTGGGGCACCCTAGACCACGATTTATAAATGCATTCTAAACAGAAGTTCTATGGACAAATCTCTTGTCCCCACATGCACATATCCCACCATTAAAGTCACCCCTAGGTTGGTGACTTCACGGGTGTTCTGAATACATACCAAGAAACATTCCAAGTGGAGATGTGAATTCAGACTTATTTAGTCATTTATGAATAGAGCAACTGAGGACAGATCTTAGACCATTTTCCTTAAGAACAATGACGTTTTAATGATTTTAGGATTAGTAGAGCCAATTCAAAAGATTTTTCTCTTTGGAATTATTAATGGCATTGTCTCTGATTATAAAGCTGGACATGTGTCCTGTTCGACAGCAGTCATGATAAAGGTGTGGAATATGCAACGCAGGGAGGTATGTGAGCAAGGTAGCATTGCTGGTCATCGTGTGGATCACCTGACTTCAAGAATCAGGTGCGCATCTGTGAGATGATGTGGGAGTGCATCAGACCTGTGATAACAAGTCATCTTAGTAACTGCTATCTTTCCTTGGTAGATTATCAGGCTTGGGACTGGAATGGGGCTGGATGCACAACATAAAAAGAACTGTAGAAAGCAGCACTTCCCAGGAATGTCCTAGGACAGGAGCAGAGTTTCCTTGAGGAAGACACGAAGCTTGCTGTTCTTGATTATCAGGCACACACGTGCTGAGAGAATAGTTTCAGTGACTTGTAAGGCAGATGCAAAATTCATCTTCCAGACTGTGTTCTTTTTTTTTTGAGACAGAGTCTGGCTCTGTTGCTCAGGTTACAGTACAATGGTGCAATCTCTGCTCACTGCAACCTCTGCCTCCCAGGTTCAAGCTATTCTCCTGCCTCGGCCTCTGCAGCAGCTGGGATGACAGGCACCCACCATCATGCCCAGCTAATTTTTGTATTTTTAGTAGAGATGAAGTTTCACCATGTTGGCCAGACTGGTCTCAAACTCCTGACTTCAAGTGATCCACCTGCCTCGGCCTCCCAAAGTACTGGGATTACAGGCATGAGCCACCGCACCCAGCCAGATTGTGTTCTTTAAAGCAAGCTGATTAAAAGGCTTGAGATATGTCATGCTGAACTCCAGGTTATTGAAGAAATCGGAGAATTCTGAGACAGGCAGGAAAAAATAACCCCAGCAGAAAGTAAAAGCTTGCAAGGTGATGAAGAAGGGTTGGAATGACTCGCAGAGGTTGAAACAAAAGAACGTGCCCAGGAGTAAAGGGAGAAGGAAAAGAAAATAGGCTCTTCCAGAATATCCCCCATGGCCTGCCTGGTGAGTCCATAAAAGCAAACACAGACACTTTGGCTCCTGTGTCAGCAGTTCTCATATCACCCTCCATCTATTCCAATTTTGCCCAATTCCCAATCCTTCGATTGTCTCCTGCTTTTGACCTTGTTCCACCCTCTGGACTTGCCGCCTGGACTTGGTTTTCTCAATCTCTTTCCTTGGCATTTTGTAAAGACCTTGGTTCATATTCGTAAATCTCCCCTCTCGCAAATCTAGCTCTGGACCCCAGGACCCAGACCATCACGATTTTGCTAGTGCCTTATGCAGACCTTCCCCGGCCCCCAACTAAGTGGGGTGCAGACCCCACCTAAAGTGAATTATGAACCTTCTAAGGAACAAGCATTAACCTGTGCACCTCAGAAAAATGAGGAAGAACCGCTGATGATAGCAAATCTAATAATCCTTACACATGCCATATTAAAAAGAAATATATACTGGTGTTAGTGTTCCACTATAGAGACATGCTATGGTGGTGTATCATGGCTAGTCAGGAGGTGAACTGTTTTCTTGGAGAATGTGTAGCAAATATGATAGGGCAGCCAGAGACTCACCACAACTACTGTATTGAGTAACCATGGTGTCTGTTGTGCCCACGGCCACGTCTAAGAAAAACTGCCCCATCATGAGCCAGCCGTCAGCAGCCGGGTTTTCTATTACACGATCCCCTTGGACCATAGCTACTTGGATAGGGGTGCACACCTAACAGAAGGACAGCCAATCAACCAATGATACTCTACCCGATGTATTAATTAGACCAGGAAACTGACTATGAATTGGCTTGGGATAAACATATTTTCCTTACAAGGAGCACAGAGATCCAATTACATTCTGGTCCTTGATTTTTTTTTTTAGATAGAGTTTCTCTCTTGTTGCTCAGGCTGGAGTACTATGGCGTAATCTCAGCTTACTGTAACCTCCGCCTCTCAAGTTCAAGTGATTCTCCTGCCTTAGCCTCCGAGTAGCTGGGATTACAGGCATGTGCCACCACGCCCAGCTAATTTTGCATTTTTAGTAGAGACAGGGTTTCTCCATGTTGGTCAGGCTGGTCTCGAACTCCCGACCTCAGGTAATCCATCCACCTCGGCCTCCCAAAATGCCGGGATTGGTCATGAGCCACTGCGTCTGGCCATCTTTGATATTTTGAATTCAGAAATATGGAGCATGTTATGCTGATGGCAGCCTGGGGAATGACAGAAATACACTCAGTTACAGGGGTGCAGAGAGTCCCTGTGGACAAGTCACATCATGAATAAGAAGCTATGAGGCAGAGGGAAGACAAAACTCACAGGAATCCAGGTAAGAATGGGAGGAAGAAATGCATCCGGAGAAGCAGTGGCTTGGAGCCATGTTACCTCCAGGGCACCAGCATGATGGTCCCTACTGCAAGATCTGTGGAGCTGCCCTGACTCCACTTTGCCTCTCTGCAAGGCCCAGCTGCCCTATGGTTTCTGTTCTTGGAGTCCTAACAACTCTCTCCTATCCCATGCGAATTCTTATACTAAATGCTCCACTGCTTCAGCGAACCTGCACAAATCTCTGGTTTTTTGCAACAGAAAGTTTGGCCGGGCGCGGTGGCTCACGCCTGTAATCTCAGCACTTTGGGAGGCTGAGGCTGGTGGATCACCTGAGGTCAGGAGTTCGAGACCAGCCTGGCCTACATGGTGAAACCCCGTCTCTACTGAAAATAAAAAAATTTAACGTGGTAGCAGGCACCTGTAATCCCAGCAACTCGGGAGACTGAGGCAGGAGAATCGCTTGAACCTGGGAGGTGAAGGTTGCAGTGAGCCGAGATGGAGCCACTGCACTCCAGCCTGGGCGACAGAGTGAGACTTCATCTCAAAACAAAAAAGAGTTGTAATATTTTGATGATTGGTTTGGAGAAAATTGGTCTTAAATGTACGGATTTTGATGCCATGAGTAGGAAAGTAATTCTGTGGAGAGGAACACTCTCCCATTAACTCATCAATCCCTAATACCGGTAGGGTATGAGACCAAAGAACAAGTACAGGCTTACATACCACAGGTCTAAATATTTAAGACCTATACATCAATCAAGCTTAAATAAAATACATTTGATCTTCCTATCTTGACAAAGGTAAATGTAAATATTAAAAATATACCATTTTTTTTGGCCAAGATCAATGGCACACGCCTGTAATCCCAGCAATTTGGGAGGCCGAGGCAGGAGGATTGCTTGAGCTCAGGAGTTCGAGACCAGCCTGGGCAACATGGTGAAATCCCATCTCTATTTAAATATTTATAAAAGATTATATATAGATAGATATTTTTTAAGAGGCAAGGTGTCACTCTGTCGCC